ATTGCCGTTAACCTCCGCCGGAATAGGGACAACTTGCAGCATATCGCTGGGGTTTTCTTCTAGAATTACAGTACCGGAGGTAGAGGGTTCAGATGAACGAAGGGGTGCCATTCTCACTGAACGAGGGAACTAAACAGTAGAAGAGAACTCGAGGGATACCTGAACAGAAGCTGCGGATGAAGCTCTAGAGAGAAGGATGAATTATAAGCCGGAGATGCAAAGTTTCGAAACCCAGAATCAAAACCAGAAGAGCCTATTTATACTCTGTCACGCCGATTCAGCAGCCAATCAGAAGAGGACACGTTTTTTGTAATGATGACGGATACACGTGTCACGCGGATAACCCTCCTCAAGAAATCATGACGTTTATCGGGGAAGTAAAACGGCAGTTGCAAAAAACCGTCAAAATATGCCTCGGGAACCGGCGGAATACCATCCGATACTCGCCCGAACGGCATTCGGGCAGAAATCTTCTACTTCCTTATGCACTCACTACCGTTCGAGACATAGGAAGTGGGGGACTAATGTTGGGATATTAGGTCCAGGCCCAATATCCCTAAGCCCAAATCCAAGAAAAAGAAGCGGGCCCAAGACAGTCCAAAGAAATTCCCGGACAGCATTCGGGATAAAGCTTGTACTTGGAACATTCCAGGGATCACTTACATCAAGGTGCCAGTGCTCAGATACCGATCGGCGTTCGGGATATGTCCATAAGCAGGATAGCACCTATGACGGGGTCCCACACACCGAACACCCTGCCCGAACGAGCAATCAGCAAGTGGAAGCTGCATTTAATGCTGGGTCATGGCCGCAGCAAGTGGGGGCATGGGTGCATACATGGCAGAAGTGACAGCCTACCGGATTTGGCCACGTGTCCACCTCACCCATCCCTATTTTAGTATAAATACCCATGTTTAGATCATTGTAAAGGGTTAGCATTGTAATACTTAGAGCTTAGCAATAGATTTACATCTCCCATCCTTGTAATCTCATATTCGTCTACCGTTCGGGTAGTTTCAGTGTAATTGCTTTATTACACAATATAAGTAAGTTCTTGAGTTGAATATTATCTGACTATTTTATACACATTTCAACCCTACCCAATATCCCTATAATATCCAAGGCTTGTGTTGGGCTTTCGGATCTTCGGGAATAAACCTCAACACAAAGTATAAGGAAAAATGAAGAAACAATTACAAGAACCTAACCTTGGAAGTTTTGAAAAACACTTGAACACCTGGAGATTCGGGGAAGCACTTCTCTCTCTAGGAATCTCAGCAGCAATTCGACTTAGGCAAAAGGCAAATGAGGGAATGGCTTCGGAGTTGGGAGTATTTATAGGCACCCCCTCCAACGGTCACTACACGTGGCAACCCCCAATTGGCCGCATCAACGGCGCCTCTCTTAGGACCAATCAGCACCCGCCTTTTCACATTCCACTCTAAGCCCACCGCTACGGCCCAACAGGCCCGAAACTAGGGGCAGGCATCGGCCTACTCACTCAAAAGCAACCCGAAGTACCGCTACGGCTACTCGCGCGCACATCGTTTGATGATAACCCTGACATCACGGCCTTCGTCCAAAGGTTCTCCCACAGGGTTACCTCGGACAGGTCTGCCTAAGGGTTGGACTCACGACTAACGCATGGAGCACCGTATCGGCTCGAGAACATGACTCCCTTGTGCCTCAAATACTCTTCGGCCAAAGGAGTGGGGGACTGGGGGGACTGTATCGGCCACAAGAAAGGAAACAACATAAAACGGGAGCGCACCGGCCTTAAAATACAAGAAGGGTGCGCTACGGCTCAGCGATTAGCCACAATTTACCTCAATGACATTACGGATCGCATCGGCTACAGATCCCAAAAATGTAAAACACACACAGATTCAGCGCGCAACGGCTGCATACATTGGGGGGACTGCGCCGGCTCACTAAAGCGAGAATGCACAAGACAGAGATGCTCCGGCCACACGACAAAATCAAAGGTATGCGGCGCATCGTCCTCATGGAGAGAACCAGTCGTCTCCACTTCGCAAAAACGAGGACCATCACTGCGGCCAAAAAATAAATAGGACCTCTTCGGCCCCAACAAAATGGTAATAAAACAGGCCAGAGAGAAAGCGCACCGCATCGTCCTAGAAAAACGGTTCACAAAAGAGCATATCGGCCCGCACCAAGGTTATGAATCCTCAAGTGCGCTCCGCCCACATCACACTAGGAAACCGCTTCATCCAAGATCAAAGCAGAACCTCTTCGGCCACCAAGCACCTCGAGCCCACGCAACGGCCAGCCAGGAAGGAACAAAAACTCCCTTTCGCTTCGGCTTCATCTCAGCTCAGAGAGTGGGGGACTCCTGATAGAGTTTATGGGCCTGGACCCCATGGCCCACATACTCAAGTCAACAATGACCGGAAGAACACCAGTGTGGTCCCCTTCGGCCGGTGGCCGCATCGGCCAAAAACCAAACCGGCCCAGGAAGCACACATGGGCTCCCGGGGACCGCATCGGCTCATGGACCGCATCGGCCATGAGACCGCATCGGCCAAAAGCACCGCATCGGCCCGGCTTCGTCCGGGCAGAATGCATCTCTCTACTTTATTTACTAAGTATTGTACACAGCCCATTAGTGGCCCTATTTCGCCCAAAGGAGGCATGATTATTGTAATGGGCCTCCTAAGCCCATGGCTAGGGGCCCAAATCCACATTTTTACCTATAAATAGACCCCTTGGGGCTAGTTATAGGGGGTTGAGAAATATAATTACTCACTTTCTCTCTCTAGCTCTCACTTCTCTCTAGGATTAATACTCCATCAATAAGAATTTATTATATTTGAATAATGTTTGGTTAAGGCGATCACCGATCTTTTCAAATCACATCCCAGTTCATGGATGTTGATCTTTAATATAGAAGAGATTCTATGATAGGTTTGAAAGCATAACAAAAAACATATGATAGATTATATGGGACTTGGATCCACGGCCCATGCACCCTTAGATACATAACGGGCTCAAGCCCGTCACACTACTAAAGGCCTCTCAAACAAGTCCGGTCCAAAATTAAAAAAAAAAAACGACTCTCTTTCCATATAGTCACCTCAGGGTGCATCACCTTGGTGATGACACCTTGACCATAGAACCCAGATAGTCACTCACAAACTAGGACAACACTAGACCCGAGGTGCACCCCTACACCTCAACCATCATCACCTCGGCCCACAAATTAAAGAACACTTTGGCAGAAGTCAGTCAAGAAATGGCACACGTTAATTTATGCTATGTTACATGACTCTCGCCAATAGATTAGGCGACATGTGTAGTGCATTTAACACGAGTTCTTTCTCTCTTTGAATTTTAACTCTCCATTCTCTCTATTATATCACTAGCGGTTACCAGTAAACTATTACCGGACTATACTATCCTTTTATATTCATGAAATAACTACTTACTCCCTCCGTTCCGTAAACAACCTCCCACTTTCCTTTTTGGGCAGTCCACGGAAATTAACTTCACACTTCCATACTTTCCTTATTTAGCAAATTATCTACATCAAAACAGTGCCAAACAGTGTCCAAACAGTGTTGAAATAGTGCAAAACAGTGCACTCCATAGTAAAATCAAATTTATTTCCTTAACCTGTGTGAAGTCAAAGTGTGAAGTTAATTGCGCAATAGAGGAAGTATTATGTACATTAGAATAAATATAATTTCAAGCAAATTGTTGTTTTGCTCTAGATGTACCCGTGCATCGCACGGGTATTTCGTCTAGTACTATGTATGATTAAATGTGATAATTGCATCATTCATATTTTTAATGTATGTGTATATAGTATATACTATATATGTATTTCATCCACACAAGAATATAATATTACTTATCATATTTATGCAAAAATATAGATGGAAATGTAATTTATATGTATCCGACTAGTCCCCGACTAGGCGCTCGCCTAGCCGCCTAGGCGCGAGGCGCTGGGCTGGCGCCCAACTAACGCCTAACACCTTTTACAACATTGTTATTACTGTGTATATTTTTAGTTGAAAAATTACAAATAATAGCTTTATGTATTATTTTGTGTATATGTGTGTGTGTTAGTGTTTTTAGTTGAAGTACTATAACTAATCATTTTATTTGTTAGTGTGCGTGTTTGTACTAATACAAGTAAAAAAATTTAAACGAGTTCGGATCCTTAACGGGTCAGAATCCTATATACCATACCCAACCCGTTTATTAAAAGTACTAACGAGTCCAGATCCGGATACAGGTAAACGAAATAAAATATAGACTCATACTCGTTAAAAACAATCGGATATGGATCAGATTCTGGTCTAGACTAGGGGTGGACTCGGGCCGGTTCGGGCCTGGGCCCGGCCGGGCCTCGGTTCATGAAAGGGGAGGCCCAGAACCGGCCCGGGTAACCCCCGGGTCAGGCTAGACCGGGCCGGGCCTCGGTTCAATTTTTTTTTTTTTGCTTTTCCTAATTAACCCCCAACCCTCCCCCCTCACCCCCTCACCACCCCAAACCACCTCAAATGGCCCAAAATACCCAGCCCAACCCAAAAACTTAAAAAAAATTCAAAAAAAAAAAGAAAAAAAATAAATTGGCCCGGACCCGGCCCGAACCGGCCAGGCGGTTCACCTTTTGAGGGACCCGAGCCCGGCCCGGAACCCCAGCTGGTCGGGCCTACCCGAACCGGTCCCTGTCCAGGTCGGCGGTTCAGGCCGGTTCAAACAGTGACCGGTTCGGGCCGGTTCCGGGTCGGGCCGCCCGGCCCGAGTCCACCCCTAATCTAGACCCGACCATTTCACATTGATCTGGGCCTAAATCAGACCAAAGGGGGACTGTAAAGTATACGTGTGGAGTACACCACCACTCCTCGAGTGGAGGTTTTCCTTTTTGAATCGTTGAGTACAAATCACGCTATTAGTTGCGCGTGAGATAGGATTTTAATTCATTTTCACGCGTATATTCTTTATGAGGAGTATTACTACCATTAATTAGGGAAAACGCGTGAATGTGTATCCTATAAAAGTAATGCCCCAACGAATAAAAGTAATGCCCCAACGAACTTGAAACGGACGAAATCTCTCTGTTATTAATCTCTCTCTTTCTCCCAAATTCTCAACAATGGCGAAGAGCGGGCGCGATTCGAAGGAGGCCGTCGTTCCCGGAGGCCGTGTGGACGACGTGGAGAAGGTTTTCCGGAAGTTCGACAAAAATGGCGACGGCAAAATATCGCTTTCCGAGCTCAGCACGATTCTCAATGCCGTCGGCCCTGTGACTCCGCCGGAGGAGGTGAATCACATAATGCTGGAGCTGGACACAAACGGAGACGGTTTCATCGATAAGAAGGAATTCGCCGCCATATATTGCCCCTCCAGCGGCGGCGACTCCAACGCCGATGAAAAGGAGCTTCTGGAAGCCTTCAACCTATACGACATCGATAAGAACGGGAAGATCACTGTCAGCGAGTTGAAATTGGTGATGGAGAGCCTCGGAGAGAAGTGTTCGAGCAAGGACTGCAAACGCATGATCAGGAAAGTCGATGTCGACGGAGACGGGTGCGTTAACTTCGAAGAATTCAAAAAAATGATGAGTAAGAGTTGATTAACCGGATCGACGTCTAGGTTCGTTTATTAGGTGTAATCCTTTGTTTGATCGGATTAGATGCGTGATATCGTATTATATTGCTTGTGATTGAGTCCGAAGTGTTAATTTGTCAAGCAATAAAATGTTGATATGACTTAATTTGATTTTTGCTCTTATTACACAGTACTTCGGATATTGTGAGAATGTGAGCCACTTTCACAAGAGTTAAAACAGTATCATTGGACGTATTTTTGAAAGGAAAACAGTTTAATCGTTAGAGTACTAATCAGTTTCATATGAAGTTGTAAATCAGATTAAAGAAATTTTGAACACGAGTAGTAAAACTACCATATACTCCGTATTATTTGATAATGTCAAAATACTTCGTATGATAGTACAATTTGTATTGAAGTTTAACATTGTTTTAACTCATATTTCCGGAGATCTCCTACGGTAACTTGATCTATAATGTTAAATTGAGCATTATATTTATATACAGATACAGTGTGTTGGACATTTGGACTTTGCACCAGATTTTTAAACTAAATTGAAGTTTACATAATATTTTGAAAATCATAAATAATTGTTCCCAAGTACTGAAAGATCTGTCAAATATTAACTTAATATAAAGATAAGATAACAAACTCCAATTTCCTTGTTTTACTTTTTTTTTTATCATTCCTATTAAAGTGATTTGATTTGATACACGTGTTAAAAATTAACTACTTAAAATGTGGCTTACATTCCAGACTCTAGAGTACCGTTCAATTTGTAAGTCTCATATCACATTTCAGAGTGCCGACCGACATAAATGGTTTTATTACTCCGTATTAAATAAACAGGGAGTATCTTCGGAATAGTAAAGGGTAGCCTCTAACATGTGATTGTACTCGAAGGCACAAATGAAAAGCTCCCCCCTACTCTAGCGATTAAAGAAGCAACTAATTGTATTAAGTTAACTTGATGAGGAATTGAGGATTGAGGAATAATAGAAGTCTTAAACAATGAATTATCATGATCTAGCTGCTGACGACTGCTGTGCCCCTTCTAGAAGCAATTGTCTTGTGACATCTGGTTCCATGCACTTCAATACAAAATAGTCAGGGATGCTAATTATTTCAGCAATATATATATATATATAGAAATCATCTCATCAGGCCGGCCTGACGGGCTGCCCCGTCCGGCCGAGCCCGTTTGGGCACCTTCCCGGTGGAATTTTTTGATGAAATTTTTTGAGCATGTTCCTCATCAAGTCTAGTTTGTCCATACCAAATTTCAGCTCAAAATTCGATCGGGAAGGTCGTCAAATGATTTTTGCAAGTTAACTGGTCCGGAATATGTATTTTCCGGACCAGTTAACTTGCAAAAATCATTTGACGACCTTCCCGATCGAATTTTGAGCTGAAATTTGGTATGGACAAACTAGACTTGATGAGGAACATGCTCAAAAAATTTCATCAAAAAATTCCACCGGGAAGGTGCCCAAACGGGCTCGGCCGGACGGGGCAGCCAGTCAGGCCGGCCTGATGAGAAGAGCTCTCTCTCTCTATATATATATAAATCATCATTAAAAAATTCGTTGATACTCTCATAGATAGATATTATTGTCACGTTTGCACATGTGCTGTCAGTTTATTACTACTCCGTATTACATAACAATGGATCAATGGTAAAAATAAGTGCATGAAATGAAAGGAATTTTTTTCCTTGAACTGAAATTTTTCGTTCTAAACTGATCTGCTCTGGTCTGGCTTGATTTAGTCTGACCTGGTTTGGGATTGAAAAGAATCTAAGTAAAAACATATGGTGTGAAGTGGTGATTATGATAGTCTTTGAATCCGCATAGATTGCGGTTTTGATTAGGAGTGTTGATTAACAATTAAGTTATACTCACATTAAAATTATTATTCATGCAATGATTCAATGAAGCTAGGTTGATCAGAATGAGATGTGAAATGGGATAAGCTGATCATAAATAAAATGATGACTAATAACATGAACTCTGTAATAAGGATAGTAAAGTAGTTAAGTTCTAATTGAGTGTAAAATAAGAAACAGGTCGGAGGACGTGTTGATTCAGTCTATTGTCATGCACCATAAGGGTACAAGATTTATAAAAATGAACCTACGCAATCGATCAATGCAAATTCAGCCGAGCTCGAGCTAAGACTTGCTCTCAGATCATCGAGATAAGCTTAAATATGCATATGGGGCTGACCCTAGGTTGAGGTGAAGGCCAATTCCATCACAATAGCTGAGCCGGGGGCAAATTTGGCATCAAATACTCTAGATCAACGAGGACAACCTCAGTAATCACTTGCGTCGAACTCGATCCCCAACCTTTGAGCTCAACATTCACATCTGAGCTATGCATTTCTACACCTAGGTCGAGCCGAGTTAAGGATATCGGATAAACATTGTGGACATGGACATTTCAGCACTGTAGTCGTGTGCAACTCAAGAATTACGCCACTAGGGACAATTGTGACAGGGTTGACGACACTGATTCTGCTACATCAGCCAGCTGCAAGACTTACACGTGTGCCTTATCTTGCCATCGTGTTGTTACTCAAAAGAGACAGTCATTACAAATCAATCAATCAATCAAATATTCTTTCACCCTGCATGTGGAATTCATTTAGTGGATTAGTTATTTTACTTATACTCCAAGTATTTTTCATATTCAACTATAAATATCACCTTCTAGTTTGTGGAAAGAACTATCATGTGTATGCACGTTGTATACGTACAGTCAAACCCGCTTGCATACGATTATGTTAATATTCACTACAAAACAGACATCACCGCTCTAAAGAACACCTTATTTTCATGTCTGTGTTTGGGTGTCATGTTAAGCGATTAAGGTTCAAATCGCGATTCTCGTAAATTCCAATCTCTTCAAAAACCAAATTTTACAACGAACGAAAGCCCAAACCTTACTTTTCCCGAGATTTCAATATATAAATAAGATGAATAAACATCAATCACAAATTCTTTACAAAGTTGTCAAGGATGAAAGGATGAATATGTGACAAAATTTATAGACAAAATTGCTGTTCTTTTATAGTGATAGCTCTGAGTGGAAGCTAATCATACAGTCATACAGAGAAAATAAATGCAAAAATAAACAAAACAGCATGGCATAAAAGAAGTGAGAAATATGCAATCTTTAAACAAATAGATAAAAATAATAGAAAAGAGCTCACAAAATAGTAGTGATGCATTGATGAGTGGCAATAATTCTTCTTTATTAACTAAAAGTAAATACAGTTTAAATCAAAAGAATTACTTATATCTTGACTTTGGATGAATTGATTGTAGTTTACACAATTTTGCTTAATTTGTTTTTACTTTTATTTGAGAATTTACTTTTACACATTTAACATCATATACAATTGAGATCCGCGTTTCATGCATTTTCCTCTATCATAATAGATTGGTGGAAATTTGGAGTTTAGACTAGCAATAACTTTTTTTAAGGGAAAATGACTTATATTAATATCATAGACTCCAACCAAATAACAACAATACTAGACACACTAAACAAGCAAAAAAGACCAAAAGATATTACTCTATCATACATGAGACCAGACTCTGAAACTATCACCCGGCCACTCAGAAGCAATATGATTCGCCAATCCCCACTTGAGCAACTGTAAGCAGGGCTGCACAAGAATAACCCGAACCCGCATAACCCGCCCGACCCAACCCTACCCGACCCTATTTAATCGGGTTTTTGGTTTTTAAAAATATTCATGGGTTAAATATGTTTGAACCCGCACCTAATGGGTAGGGTTGCGTTAAAATCTCAAACCCGATAGTACCCGACCCGGCCGAAGTTCATTTTACTATTAGTATGCTACACCGTTTTCTTAGATAATTTCAATTCAAGACCAATGTGCTCTATCTAGGACTTTATGATATTATAATTATAACTAACCACAAGCACTTCAATTAAAGGTTTGCAAACAGAGCCTAAATCATATAAGTACTAAGCCCCTTACGAAAAAGTTCGCCCTATTCACTTTTCTTGGTCGATCAATGATGACAAAATTTGGACAATAATTTTAATTATACTACTATATTTGCATATAATTTGTCATATTTTATACTTTTTTGAAAATATTTTGAATAAGGAACATTTTGATATAATTTTTCATATTCTAAATAATTTCGTATTTAAAATATCATTGGTCAAAATTTATTGACATTAACAAAAAAAATCAATTTGACGAACCTTTTCAAGAAGAGAGTATAGGGAGTATGGATATATTTTTGAACAAAAATTCCTTTTGTACACGTTTTTGTACCCATCAGTACACGCATGTGTCTGTGAGAGTTTTTTTTTGTCTGTGAAGTGCGGTCCACAGACAAAAGCTGGTTTGTTTTGTCTGTGAAATTTTCCACAGACAAAACAAGCGAACTTATGTCTGTGGACCGCGCTTCACAGACAAAAAAATACTCTCACAGACACATGCGTGTACTGATGGGTACAAAAATGTGTACACTAAGAATGGTTGATTTTTGAATTTGAATACATTTTTATACTTTACTACATTTTTCTTAATTTCCTTGAACTTATTTGAGAATTTACTTTTACATATCCGAATTTACGAATACAGCCCCAATAGAGTTTCGTGCACATGTGTTTCTCCTTTATCACGATATGGCGTGAAATTTGGAGTTTAGGGTACTACACTACTACGAGTACTACTGTACTATCGAAATACGAGTATAGTGTTTATGGTTTGTTGATGACTGAATTTTGTACCGTGATATGTACGCCAAATTGTAAATATTGCACATGTTTCAATATGAAATTATGCCTCATTTTATACCGACAAAATTTTGAAATATGACTAAATAAGAGTGAGAAGGTTTTGAAATTTCAAAACAGGGAGTGTTTTTATTCCTTAAATATGAGTTATTTGTGTCATGTTTGACATTATCAAGTTTTGAACATGACAATTCTGCCAAAATTTTCCAAACTTGGCAGAAATTAACCTTTATTTGTGGAATAAAAACTCGAAAGTCATATTTTGGAATTTTAAACGTTTGTACTCTTATTCATGACAATTTCTATTTTATATATGGAATACTAGCTATAAATCTAACATGACAGCAAACAATTTAGGACAATGAAATATAACAGTATCAAATTACTATCTTCATCCCAATAAAAAGGGACAACTGTTTGAATAATAAGTTTATGTTATTTACATTAAATTTAGAGATATTTACCCACCTAAATTATAATCAAAATTCCTAAATAGGAGTTAATATTTTATTTTTCATAAATAGGATCACTAGTTACCAATTTACCCCTGCTATAATAAAATCCCACCAGCACTTCTATTGATCGCCATCTTTTCCACATCGATCTACACATCTCCCATGGAGATCTTCTTCCGCACACGGCACACCTTACCCCGGCCAGCGCTTCTCTAGGTAATATCTCCTCCTTATCTTCCTTCTTCTCCTTCTCCTCTTCTTCTTATCCTTCTTCTTCCTCTAATTTATGCTCCTCTTTCATTTATTAGTATTTTCTGTTAATTTATTTGAATATCTTTTTGATTCTAAATGAAAATTTTATTTTTTATCTGAATATTTTGGGTTCAAAACTTGGGGGAATGAAAATTTGAGGCTCTTGTTCAAAGAATTTCCGACCTAAATTTTATTATTGTTTATCTTTACCAACTTGTAAAAATTGACACATTTATGGCATTTTTATGGAGATAGGCATATTACAACTTCGAAAATGCCAAATTTTTGACAATTTCACAAATTATGGCATTCTTATGGCATTGAATTGAATTCATCAGCAAAACTACTTCATTTTTCTTCTCCTATTTCACATTTTGGACTCTAGAATGTGAAAATGCCATAATTTGTAATATGAAAATTTCATGTTGTGACATATGGAAATGCCATGTTTTTGTCATTATTGCTATCACCATTGCAATTTTGTCTGAAATTGATGTCATACACTCCATAGGAGATAACCATGACTAAGAAGATGTTAGCATCTCCACAGAGAAATTTAACGGTGGCATCATCTCATTGTAGGATGGGGTAAGTCACGTCATCAGAAGAGTGCAACAGCAATCTCGACGGCGATAGTGGCGACGTTCTCACTTGGTTGCGGCGGCGGGCTCGACAGTGCACGGAAGGTGCTGAAGGTGTCAGCGGTTTGGAGTTTACGCTATAGGCATCCGCCGTTTGGAGTTTAAGCTACAGGCATCGATCGACGAAGAGGCAGCTGGGGGAAGGGTTTTATTTTTTATTTGAGCTGTAATTTCATTAAGGGCAATTTTGTCTAATCTGTTCATTTTTTATCCTATAAAATATGAGAGTCCTATTTGTGCATTTCAACATTGATTTAGTCCCATTTAGGGAATTAACCCTTAAATTTATCAAGTAAGAATAAAGCAAAAAAGATTTAGAGTTACATAAAATTTACCGAATTTGGTATAAATAATTTGAGTGGGATAGACTAAAAAAGAAAGATAAGACAATTTTGACGAGAGAATTTTGACGAGAGAGAGAGAGAGAGTAGGTCTGAGACCAGCTCAGTTCCTAAGCAAAATAGGTGGAATTATTTGAAAATATCAAATATTAATAATAGTTCGGTTCTTATAAATTATTTATAGAACCGATCTGGAGCCAAACTATTCCTTACAGTTCCAGTTGATTAAAAAAATTCTTACAAATCACCGGTAAATTTGTGCCACATAAAGACATTCAACGTTTCTAATTATAAGAAATACAAATATGTTTATCATCATTTCAGACCTCAAAAGTTGACTTTAAAAATAAGTACATAACGAACTAATATTTTTAGTAAATAAAACAATACATGATGTTCACTACAATATAAAATTAATTCATCTCAAAACAGTGAATTTAATATAAAATAAATAAGTAAATATATACTACAATATATATACTAGGAAGTAACATACTACGTATAAAATTTTAATTATTATATATATAACGGTTCTTTAACGATTTCAGGTTGCATAAAATTTTCAAGAAGCGAGAACCGAACCATTAATAAGAAATAAGAACAGAATCATTAACAAATAACTAATAAATGTTGGAACCGAACTGAACTGGGTTATAACGGTTTTGTCCAATTTCGTTTTCCAGTTCTTGACCATAAGTAATGAATTGATCATATATTTTGACCTTTTCAACTCAAACCTCTACTCTCAATAAAATAAACTCGAATTTCTATACATTTACCGGAGACTATGGCTTTCCAATTCTTCTCTGAATTATTTAGTCTTTGTTCTACCACTTCTAAATTTTGTGGTTTTTAATAATATTATTGAAATAAAATTTCTTTACAAAAATATAATTAATTATTATAAGTATATATAGTTTCATTGTTATTTAAGTGTGTTGGGATATTGGGTCCAGACCCAATATACCCGGCCCAAAGTATGAAGGGATCCAGAGGAAGATAGTTAAAATAGTCATATACAGTAACCTCAGCCCATTCAACAATAAAAGTAATTTCAACTTTATTTATTTTGATTATTACATGATTAAATACGTGAAGTAATAATTACATGTTTGGTGAAAAAATGAATTATAAAACAGATAAAGTTGAAAATAGGGATTGCCAAACGTACACCTAATTAATCAATTTTTTGAAAACTTGAGAAAGATATGTTTTACAATAGAATCGAGCAGAGAGAGGAACAACAATGGCGCCTAACTTTTTTCTCTTATTTTGTTCTCTTCTTTTTATCTTCCTTAGTTCCACTTATGAAAAAAATATCATTTCAATTAGTATTTTAAGTTCTATTGGTGTGTTTCTTTCTTTGCGTTATCTAGAGATATTGTTTTCACTGACAGAATGTTGCTTCCCAAATTTAATCTTTTGTGTCTATCTTTTTGTCGTATTAAGACGAGCAAATAATCCCAATTAAAAGGAAAGCTTTGAGATCCGTGAGCTCAAACTACTCCAAACCTACATGTGACTGAAATTGGTGGAGTGAAGTCGATCTGGGGTAGGTAGTGTCCCATATTTAGAACCGCCCAAGTACGGCAAATATCATTGTATTATCATCAAAATATTCATTATGCTAATTTTATAATTTAATACCAATAATCATTTCTTTTCAATGTGACACTCATTTCTTTTAAATACTTGATTATACAGTACGCATTGTACAACAAGATGTACAGTGTGCGCTCTCCCCAAGTACAGGCAGTGACTAATGACTCTTATTGGAAGTGGTCGGGCGAAGAGAAACCCATTCCAACTCGAGCTCCACCTCACCACACTCCACATTCCGCAATCTAAGCACCATCTTCTGCACAACCTTATCATTTTCCCAAATGATGTCACTTTCTTCAGCTAGGCAATTCTCCCGGCTTGGTTTCACCTTAGCTATTATGCTCCCGCTCGGGATGTCCGCCAACTCCATCTTTACAACTTCCATGAAACATATGATGTCAAATTCTGCATCGCCCATCTTATCATCCATACTGAATGTATCTTTGTCATACACTTGCTGCAATCATTTCCAAATTTAATAAACCATCAAATTTTAGGATATATATGTATTGGCGGAGCCAGAAAAAAACTCAAGTGGTCGAAACTCAACTATATACAAAATGAAAAATGGTTAATCGCTTTTAGACAATACATGAGTTGAATATATCATACGTAGTACATGGCTTAGATAAATGATATTTTAAATGAGAATAATAATCTTATAGATTTGATATGCATGTCATATATATTATAAACGTGTTTAGTTGATGGCTTCCAAACTAGTGACTATCTCGGATGAGACTCTTTGTTTTACCCTGAAACTCTAGTTTCCGTCTCACCCAATTTAGTATCAGACTTCTGTTGGGATGTTGGGCTCCTAACAATGTGGAGAAAGGCCCAAAAAATATGTCAAGCCCATTGGTCTCACTTTAGAGTGGAGATGGAGAAGAGTCAAGTAAAGGGAGCTGAGAGAGAGACAGATAGAGCAGTTTGGAACAACAAGAAAAGGGGAGAGAAGAGAAGAAAAGATTTTCGCACAATTCTACTGCTGCAACACGTTTTTCATCACTGTGACTTCGTTCACCGTTGGATCGGGCTGAAATTTTGACAGCAGGTTCGTGACTTCTGGTACTTCAATCTGGACGGTTGGATCGGTGAGAAGATGTCTGTAGTGGGAGAAATTGACTTCGCACAGTAGCAGCAAAAATCTGGTTTTTTCTGATATTCTTGGTTCTCCAACTTGTGATTGTTGCTTTGTTGTTTGGCCAAATTGTTGAGCAATTTTGTGTGTTATATTTGGAACTCTCATGTACCCTGACTTGATCATAGTGGAGCTTGATTGACTGGCTTGTGCCCGTGGTTTTTTCTTCTCACATTGAGAAGGTTTTCCACGTTAAAAATCTTGGTGTCCCTTTGTTTGTGTGATTACATTAGCTGCAGTATTATTGGTTATTGCTCCTCATTGATTCTAGCAAGTTAGGGAATTTTATTGTTTGCTGCATATTACTCTCTTTGAGTAGTTATTGTGTTGAATTCCCAACAAAGTGGTATCAGAGCCTTGTTGGTTGAGTGGCTGCTTAACTTGCTTGAATGATGGAGGCAAATACAAGTAGAATGATTTGTTTGAATGGCACTAATTATCACTTGTGGAAGGGCAAAATGAAGGATCTTCTATTTGTGAAGGATTTACATCTTCCAGTGTTTGGTGCCGGGAAGCCGGAGGGCAAGTCTGATGAGGCTTGGCAATTTCTAAATCAGCAGGTTTGTGGTTTCATTCGGCTGTATGTGGAAGACAATGTTTATAATCACATTGCTAACGAGGAAGATGCCAAAGTCTTGTGGAAGAAGATTGAAACTCTGTATGCTTCCAAATCAGGGAATAGTAAATTGTATTTGTTGAATTCCTTTATGAATTTGCGATACAAAGATGGGACTTCTATTTCAGATCACTTGAATGACTTTCAAGGGCTCCGAGATCAACTGTCAGGAATGAGCATCAAGTTTGATGATGAAGTGTTAGGGTTGTGGCTACTAAATACTCTACCAGACTCTTGGGAAACATTTCGGGTTTCAATTATAAATTCTTCCCGTGATGATATTGTCACTCTGGAAAATGTAAAGAGCAGTGTTCTTAATGAAGAAGTGAGAAGGAAGGCACAAGGTTCTTCATCTCATTCTGATGTGCTGGTCACTGAAAACAGGGGGAGAAGTCAAAAGAAGGAACCCAAAGGTGGTAGAGATAAAAGCAAAAGTAGGTCCAGGTACAAGAATGTGGAGTGTCATTATTGTCACAAAACAGGACACATACAGAAAAACTGTTTTCAATGGAAAAGGGAGAGCAAAGACAAGAAGGGTAAGCAGAAAGGGAAAGATCATGGTGATCAAGACCGTGTTACTACTACTACTACCTGTGATGATCTTGTCATTCTCAGTGACTTTAATTCAGTTAATTTTGTATCGGATGAGAGCATGTGGATAGTTGACAGTGGTGCTACACTGCATGTTACACCAAGGAAGGAGTTCTTCACATCTTACACTTCTGGTGATTTTGGAGTGTTGAAGATGGGCAATGATGGGGTGTCTAACGTAGTTGGTATTGGTGATGTTTGTTTGCAGAGCAACATGGGAATGTCGTTGCTGCTTAGAGGAGTCAAACATGCTCCTGATGTTCGTTTTAATTTGATATCTGTGCAGGTACTTGATGATGAGGGCTATCTTAATAGCTTTGGTAATGGAAAGTGGAAACTCACCAGAGGTAACATGGTTGTGGCCAGAGAGGAGAAAATCAATAAGTTGTATTGGACTAAAGCATTGGTTGCTAAAGACTGTGTGAATGCCATGGATATGGAGGCTTCTTTGTGGCACCGCAGGCTTAGTCATATCAGTGAAAAGGGGCTGATTGTTTAGCTAAAAAGGATGTGCTTCCGGGATTGAAAAGTGCAGAGTTGGAAAAATGTTCTCATTGCATGGCTGGTAAGCAGACCAGAGTATCCTTCAAGAAACATCATCCCTCAAGGAAGTCAGAGGTGATTGAATTAGTGCATTCTGATGTTTGTGGCCCATTGAAGGTAAAGTCATTTAGTGGTGCACTTTATTTTGTTACATTTATTGATGATTGCTCCAGGAAACTTTGGGTGTATGTTTTGAAGACAAAGGACCAGGTTCTGGAGAAATTCAAAGAGTTCCATGTCTTGGTTGAGAGACAGTCAGGCAAGAAGCTTAAATGTGTTCGTACTGACAACGGTGGTGAGTATTGTGGTCCATTTGATGTTTATTGCAAGGAGCATGGTATTAGACATGAAAAGACTCCTCCTAAAACTCCTCAGCTGAATGGTTTACCAGAGAGGATGAACAGGACATTGATGGAAAGAGGCAGGTGTATGCTTTCTAAAGCTAAGTTACCCAAGCATTTCTGGGGTGAGGCATTGTACATAGCTGTGCATGTTATTAATCTGAGTTTTGCAGTTGCCTTGAATACAGAGGTGCCAGACAAGGTTTGGTTTGGCAAGGATATCAAGTATGATCATTTGCGAGTCTTCGGATGCAAGGCATATGTTCATGTTCCAAAGGATGAGAGATCAAAGTTGGATGCGAAGACTAGGCAGTGCATCTTTATTGGTTATGGTCAAGATGATTTTGGCTACAAGCTGTATGATCCTGTTGAGAAGAAGGCAGTTAGAAGTCGTGATGTGAAGTTCATAGAAGACCAAACCATTGAAGATATTGATAAGATGGAGAAGACTTCACCTGAGAAAGATAATAGTTTGTCTGATGTTGATCCAATTCGGATGCCTGTACATGATGAGCAGGTTGATGATTTTGGCGAGCAACCGCATGGTGATGATTCTGATATCCCTTTTGATGATGCTAAAGAGGAGCATGAGATGTCACATGATGAGAATCATGGTGATGCTCCTGAACCACCGGAAATCCAACTCTGGAGGTCTAACAGACAGAGAACACCATCTACAAGGTATCCTTCTGATGAGTATGTTACCTTGACAGATGAAGGAGAACCTGAATGTTTCAACGAGGCCATGGAGAGTGAAGAAAAGAAGAAATGGCTGGATGCAATGCAGGATGAAATGAAGTCTTTGCATGATAATCACACTTTTGACTTAGTGAAATTGCCAATAGGCAAGAAGGCCTTGGAAAACAGGTGGATTTACAGGGTGAAGCATGAAAGCAACTCTACATCTCCGAGGTATAAAGCCAGATTGGTGGTGAAAGGTTTCAGACAAAGAAAGGGTGTTGATTTCAATGAGATTTTTTCTCCTGTGGTGAAAATGTCATCCATTAGAACTGTGTTGAGTTTGGCAGCTACTCTTGATTTAGAGGTAGAGCAAATGGATGTTAAGACAGCTTTCCTTCACGGTAATTTAGAGGAGGAGATTTACATGAAGCAACCTGATGGTTTTCTTGTTGAAGGCAAGGTAGATTATGTGTGTAGGCTAAGAAAGAGCTTATATGGTTTGAAGCAGGCTCCACGTCAGTGGTATAAGAAGTTTGAGTCTGTTATGTGTGAACAAGGCTACGAAAAGACTACTTCTGATCATTGTGTCTTTATTAAAAAGTTTGCTGGTGATGATTTCATTATCCTGTTATTGTATGTTGATGACATGCTTATTGTAGGGAAAAATATTTCCATGATTAACAGGTTGAAGAAACAATTGGGTGAGTCATTTGCCATGAAAGATATGGGAGCTGCTAAGCAAATTCTTGGTATAAGAATTGTGCGTGATAGAAAAGAGAAGAAACTTTGGCTGTCACAGGAACACTATGTTAAAAGAGTCTTGCAGAGGTTCCAGATGGAAAATGCTAAGGCCGTAAAAACTCCTCTTGCTACTCATTTTAAATTGAGTATTGAACAGAGTCCGTTCAATGAAGCTGAAAAATCAGATATGCAACGTGTTCCTTATGCATCTGCTGTGGGTAGTTTGATGTATGAAATGGTGTGTACAAGACCAGATATTGCACATGCTGTTGGTATTGTTAGCAGATTTCTGTCAAATCCAGGTAGAGAGCATTGGAATGCCGTGAAATGGATTTTGAAGTATCTTCGAGGTACTACTGATTTGATGCTTTGTTTTGGAGGTGATAAGCCTATCCTTATGGGCTATACTGATTCTGACATGGCTAGAGACATTGATTCCAGAAAGTCCACTTCAGGGTACTTGATTAAGTTTGCAGGGGGAGCTGTGGTGTGGCAATCAAGATTGCAGAGGTGTGTTGCATTGTCAACTACTGAAGCAGAGTTCATTGCCATTACCGAAGCATGTAAGGAATTGCTTTGGTTGAAGAAATTCTTACGGGAGCTTAGTTTTGTCCAGGACAAATACTTGTTGTTTTGTGATAGTCAAAGTGCAATTCATCTTGGTAAGAATCCAACTTTTCATTCTAGGTCCAAACATATTGATGTGAGGTATCATTGGATACGTGATGTTTTGGATGCTAGACAATTGGAATTGGTCAAGGTTCATACAGATGATAACGGTGCTGATATGATGACTAAGGCATGCATTACAAAGAAGCAAGTTTGAAACTTGCTGTGAGATCGCCGGTTTGGCGATTATCTCCACATAGTTGTGAGGGGGAGATTTGTTGGGATGTTGGGCTCCCAACAATGTGGAGAAAGGCCCAAAAAATATGTCAAGCCCATTGGTCTCACTTTAGAGTGGAGATGGAGAAGAGTCAAGTAAAGGGAGCTGAGAGAGAGACAGATAGAGCAGTTTGGAACAACAAGAAAAGGGGATAGAAGAGAAGAAAAGATTTTCGCACAATTCTACTGCAGCAACACGTTTTTCATCACTGTGACTTCGTTCACCATTGGATCGGGCTGAAATTTTGACAGCAGGTTCGTGACTTCTGGTACTTCAATATGGACGGTTGGATCGGTGAGAAGATGTCTGTAGTGGGAGAAATTGACATCGCACAGTAGCAGCAAAAATCTGGTTTTTTCTGATATTCTTGGTTCTCCAACTTGTGATTGTTGCTTTGTTGTTTGGCCAAATTGTTGAGCAATTTTGTGTGTTATATTTGAAACTCTCATGTACCCTGACTTGATCATAGTGGAGCTTGATTGACTGGCTTGTGCCCGTGGTTTTTTCTTCTCACATTGAGAAGGTTTTCCACGTTAAAAATCTTGGTGTCCCTTTGTTTGTGTGATTACATTAGCTGCAGTATTATTGGTTATTGCTCCTCATTGATTCTAGCAAGTTGGGGAATTTTATTGTTCGCTGCATATTACTCTCTTTGAGTAGTTATTGTGTTGAATTCCCAACAACTTCTTACCATAAAAGAATCAACAATTGGGTAAGCACTCGTAGTATCAAGATATGTAGTCATTGCTCTATCTATGAGTCATGTTGTGTAAATAATGTGTGATTTATATGTTATTTTTAAAATTCAAAAACTTTTACACATCAAATTTTACTTGTTTTAAGTTTAGAGAATGTCGATATTTTAAAAGTCATAACTGTTTACTCGTAATGAGTTACAGGAGGCACAATATATCAAATCAAAGGTATTTCAGAGCTGTATACTCTCAAACTTTCAGGGGGCGGTTGACACCCTTGACCCCCTTGACTCCGCCCTGTGTACATATACCATAGGTGAAATTCTAGATGAATTTGCTTAAAAGGGTGATTCTAAGTTTTTACACAACCTTTCTTGATTTAATTTATGAAATAATGCCTCCTGCGTCCCATTTCATGTGATATTTTCATTTGACATAATTATTAATAAAATGGTTGAAAAAGTAAAACTGTGGTTGAGATTTAAGTGTAACAAAATTAAATATTGTGGACCACATTTTTCTTTCTAAAACAGTAAAGATGATACTCCGTACTAATTTTGAGAAAACCCAAAAAAGAAAGTAAACAAGTAAAATGAGATGAAAAAGTATATTTTAATTTTCATTATTTCACAACCAAGCATATTCAGTTATTCACTAGACAGTTTCGATGTTATAAGAACATAATCTTTAAATTATTCAACAAGGTTATCTTTTGTGAATGAAAATGTCAAATCATAATCATAATATAATACGAGAATATTCATCACTAGTATTATATTGATAAAGTAAATTAAATCTTCGTCCATAATAAACATCTAATCAAATACATCAACTTTAAAAAGTGTTCAAATTAACCTTTTCTTTCTTTCTCACTTTCTTTTTCAATTCCCCTTCTTCTCCCCTGGATGAACGCTGACAAGTTTTTCTTGTTTAATGTTCCCCTTCTTTGCGTTTTTAAAAGTTGAAGGGTTTAGTTACTTGAGTTTTTCAGTCGATCAGGAGGGCCAGGACCCAGGAGGCTAAAGGACCCATCGTCGGAATACTTTACAAGGAAGAGAAGTTTTCTAGGACGGTTTTACATAACGGTTCTAATATTTTCGAGTAAAAATCCTACTCCCCAGCCTAAGTACGAACTTTTTACACTATTTTCAATCTCACAGACCAAGTCAGGCCAGATCAGATCAGACTTGAACAGTTACAAAATATACAGATACCAAACATTTATCAGACCATACTAGATTAGTTCAGACCAGACCAGACCAGATCAAATCAAACAAGAAAAAAATATTAATATCCCAATTATAAACATTAATATACAAATCAGCCCGTGAATGGCTCGATATCGAGACCTCCTCTCTCTAGGGTGAATTTCCGCCGCTAGGGTTTCTTCTCCGCTATCGATTCTTTCGAGGAGCGGCCGTCTTCCGTTCACTAGTTAGGGTTTTTTGTTCCGCAGATTGATCTTCGTTTGTGCGGCTGGATTTTTCGTGGAACGGGTGGAACGCAAGGGCGCTGTGGTGCAGTTTGGATTTTTGTGGGCGAAGAAACACAGACAACATGATAAAGTTCTCTTCTGCACCTCGGACATGGATTTCAACCGCAAATCTCAAGGAGCACATTGGTGAGCGCAAGAAGGATAGGGTTTCAGACGAATTTTTCAGGGGTTAAAATTCTCTTCTACCATACTATAGCGGCTCGACCTCCTCCGGAACCATCTCCGTGCGAAGAAGCAATTTGGGGAAAGTTTTTAATTTCGTATTTTTTTTCTTTTCGTAATACTTATTTTTATTTCACTTCGAGCAGAAATGATTGGAGTATTTTGATTTCTGAAGAACTTTTGATGATAGTACTTCATTTTTTTTTTATCATTTTAGGCTACTTCTTGCCCGTTTTGTGTTTAGCGAGTCAGGTTGCTTTGTAAGGGTCGCTGATTCTAAGTTATTCCTAGGACTTATGATCGGATCTGTAATAACTGTATGGATTTTGTATTGCATGTTTGCTCTGAAAAACCGTTTTGATGATCAAAATAAAAAAAAACAGCCCGTGAAAGAGATTTTTTATGCAAGACTAATCAACTGAGAAAAAGGCTACCCATTTAATTATTACTTCTTAGAGGGTTAATTCCAATCAAACGACTTGTAAGGTATTAAGGTTACATACCAATCTGATGGGGAGAGTTGGATCTGTAATTGACAGAGTTAAGTGTTCGTTCCACTCAGGATTCACATTATTGTTCACCACTTTGGTCTTTAATTTCTGCGTCAAAGGATTCCATCAAACACAACAAAAAGCATCCACATTAACATTAGCACAAGTTCTTAATTGGATATATCAATCATCAATTAACATACATCTTTTTTAAAATAAGGTCTTTCTTAATACAGAACAATAGGTTTTAAAAGAATATTAAGCTATCCTACATCGACCAGAAAATATTAACTTAAAAGTTTTGGCTACTCCTGGACCTTTTAGAATGCAATCCCAAGAATATATACTATTGGAGCTTATTGAGCTCTGCAATTAGATCATAATAATCCTCAACAACGAGACAAAAAAGGTTGAATACTCAACCCCAAGGACCCCCACGTCCCTACTCGATAGAGCACATAGGAGGTTGTAAATTACGGTGACTCAACCCATCCTAACGGTGGTAGATATTATACCCATGCGCACGCACCAGAGGCCTAATCCAACACATATGAGTTGTGACCTCTACACGATCGCTGCGGGTTTCAATCCTTGGTCAAGAGAACATATAAAGTTACAAGAGAACATATAAAGTTGACATATAAAGAATGAATAAAACCTGTTTCTTGCCCAAGCGAACCACAACGTAAGGGTCGCTGCTGCAGACATCTCTGATGGCCAAGTTTATACCTCTGAGAATATGAATCTTGAGAAGCCCCAATAAATTCTCCATTGACAAAGCTGCAGAACTGTCCTTCATTTACCGTCGCTTAAGGTGTATGAATAATAGTTCTTTGAGACTAAATGCTTAATTGGGTTGGTGGGGGTGTGGCTGAGAGAGAAGAGAGTAAAGGTTCTATATATTGGCGAGTAACGTTTATTTATCAATGGCTTTAAAACTTTATGTACGTTATCTTTTAATTACAACATTGGACTTTTTGTACTATTCACATATTCTATTTTGACTATATTTTATTTATTAATGTATTATAAGTTAAATTTTTAAAAAATATTTTTAATTCTTCTCGTTCTAAATTTTTAAAATATGATTTTTTTAAATTTTTTACTTTAAGAAATGAAAGATATTAATGGTCAAACTTGAGCGTTGACAAACGTGAAGTATTAGCTGTTGCAATTAAAGGGGAACATAGGAAGTACATAGCAAAATTTTGGTTTGATTGTTGAATTGAGTTTTTGTGGTTGGATCTGTTTAAATTTTACGGTAATATACTTTGATTTTATGTGAATTTTATAATTACAAGCTGTCTTGTTGATTGATGGTGGTACGGTTGAGCAATGATAAAAGTCCCTCCTTTGCTCTAATAATTGTTGATCTTTTTTTGGTATCTCAAAATAAACTTCTCAAATAAGCGTCTGGGAGGTATGAAGTAATCAGGGCAGAAACTCACTCCATTAAGTTTCAAATCCGAGACCTCTCGTACGGGAGAGTGAGTCGGCGACCAGCTGGGCTAGACCGCTTTCTCAAACTTCTCATATCCATAAAACATAATTTTTCAATAACAAATAATGTTAAAAGTGCCCTTACTTTTACTTTGATGACATAAAAGTAATTATTTGAATGTCAATTTTCCACCTTTAACTATCATTAATTTGTATCTATGTCAAAGTGATGAGTTGTACATTAAGTTAAACATCCGATAAAACCATAAAAATGTTGAGATTGACAAAAACTAACGGGGCGAGTATAAAATTATAACAACCATTTTCATGTATAAACTAGTTGACTAGTTGTACACGATATTTTACATGGCGTAGTTATTTTGTTTACATTTTGAAAAGAGAATTGTTTTTCGTACGAACAAAGATTTGTCAGTGTCTACAGAGAGATGTATATATGAGCACTTAATATATGTATTTCATTATTTCTAATTAAACGGAATGTAACCCACCAACTTATACCCTCAATTAAATGTCGCAACTTTAGGTGTGTATATTCATTAATTGTTACTTTACTATAGATTAATTAACAATGAATTCAGCAGCAGGCTTACACGGTGTAATTATTAATGGGCAGACTTTCTGTTTTTCCGCGAAAACACCATAATCCTCAGTACCAATTAACGCGGAGAAAATTCAACAATCACTTTTGATCGTAAGTCAAAATGAATTAGAATTAGGTGACAAACTGACAACTAAGGCATTGTTTCCTCTTTTCTCGAATGGGTGAAGGCATTGTTTAGCCAAAATAATGAGGAAGAATGCTGCAAGTTTATTACTGTCTGCTGGAGCATTTGGCAGGCCCGGAATGACAAGGTCTGGCAGCATATTAACAGAAAAGCTAAAGATATAATTATTCATGGTGAGGCTATGCTTGGTGGTTGGCGGGCTGCTCAGCGACCGGTACTCACTGGAAGTATCAACAGACAAATTGGGGGTGAACGTTGGATACGGCCAGATTCGGGATGGATTAAATTTAACACCGACGCAGCAGTCTGCAACACAAATGGACAAAGGGGATTTGGATGGATAGCTAGGAATGCAAATGGTCAATTTTTAGCTTGTGCTTCATATCCATGGCCTGGAATCTGCTCGGTCAAAGAGCTAGAGGCTTTAGCGGTCCGGGAGGCTTTGATATGGTTAATATCACAAGAATGGGAGAAAATTGTAGTGGAAACGGATGCGCTTCAAGTGGTTTCTAGTTTAGCCGAAGAACCTGGAAACTCTTATTTTGATCTCATTTTGGATGATATTAGAGTCATGATCGCGTCTAACGTGAATATTAAGGTCTCACATGTAAAACGATCAGCGAATCGTGTAGCTCATAAGCTTGCTAGAGTTGCCGTTTCTTTGTCTGATCGTAGAGTTTGGTTGGATTTACCTCCTTCAAATATTGTAAGCCTTATGGCTAATGATTTGCTTATTTAATCTATGGAATCTTTATTTCAAAAAAAAAAAACTGACAACTAAGGAGTATATGGTTTTCTTTTTTAACTTCGTGATTGTTTTTGGAAAATACTCTCCCGCTAAAATTACCAGAGACTATTCACTTTTAATATACTTCCTAGTTCCTTTCCTTTTTTGAAACAAATATATTGCTTACACCATTTCATTTTATTATACCCAAATCCCAATCACAACTTTTACTTTTTCAACCACTTCATTAAGAATCGTGTCGAGTCAAACTAAGACACATAAAATGGGACGGATGTAGTATTACTTTATATATCAAATTTTTATCAAATTTGATTCTGGTTTTTGCGACTTTATAAAATTTTTAATGTAGTTTCTGAATATGTAATTTCTTTTTTCTAAAAAATAATTTGAGTGCGAACAAAGATCTGTTTGTTTTATCGTTGGTCAAGCATCGTAAACCGAATTGTCCCAAACATAGTGAGGCGGAGGTAGTAGTAGCCAACAACCCACCATTACTAGGATTATGTTTAAGTTTTTTTTCAAAGGATTATGGTTAAGTTTTATTAATGACAGTTGATCTTTTTATGTGATTAAGACACATTCATTTGTAACGGATTATAATGTGCTACATTCAGATCATGAATTAGACCGAAATGCTAATCAGTACACACGTTTACAATTTTAATTTAAATTTGAGAATCATGCGTACAAGCTATTTCTCTTATGTAACCCGTTTGGTAATGAGCGTGATTGACAATTTGACATTTAACGGATGGCAGAGAGGTTATGTTAACGGATTGTCAATAACAAAGTCAGCGGATTTGGCTAGCGGAATAAGTTGGTAGGTTGCCGGAAGATGTTAAATAATTTAGCTGTTTGGCTATAGCCTATAGAAATTAGTAAAAAGCATCATATTTCAAAACGATAATTCAAAACTCTCCTATTTGCAACGTTTTCATTCTAGTGATTCCGTCCAAAAACTCTAGGGTCGAACAACTATTTACCAAACATCATTTTCATTTATTGAAAATGCTAAAGGTGGTCAAATCGTCATTTTTTGGCTGAAACCCTATTTTTCAAATGCCCCCAATGTGTAAATGGCGGAGTATGTTTAATTATGCAAATATTATTATTTAATATACAAAAAAAATATTAAAAAGTAATATTATATTAAAAATATTATATTAGAAATATTTTTAATATTATATTAAAAATATTATATGTGGTATGACCTATTCTAATACGTAGTATGTACTAAGGGAGTGTTTGGGATAGATTATGCTTCTACATTAAAGAAACAAAAATCGAATTGGATTTCAGAAGTTGGTCTCCCCCAACTACTAAAAAACTGTCTCTATGAGCATTTTAGGGCATTCTAAAGTACTTCTTCATTTCCATTCAAACACTGCAATATCTACTTCTGTTATCTGATAAAGCAAAAACAGTTTTAAAAAGAATATTCAAACACCCCTAAATGACTTTAACAAAAAAACTTTACGAAAAACACTTTACTCTTACTTAGTTTTATTAGGGCAACCCCATTCTTTAGATTATTTAGAGTTTAATTGGATGATATGTAAGATTATTTTAAAGATTATCATTGTGAGAGAGATTATTTAAAGAGATTATTGAAAAAGATAATCCGGTATCAAGATTTGAATCCCGGATTATTTTAGGTTGTAGTTAAATTTCATTTAATGCATGGTTTAGAAAAACTAATTATTCGAGTATCATAGTTGATGAAGAGTTTTAAGATTTGATCGAGATTATTTAAAATTTATTTAATAAATGTGATGTAGCAATAATGTGTCATAGAAAAACTATTTATTTTAAGTTTATGAATGAGGATGCTCTTATACGGAGTATCACAATTTAGTACATCAAATCCAAAGTTCCAGAAAAAGATTATCAATTTAAACCGACTCATAGTTCGTTACTGTGGAATATTTTTAGGACACCTCTAAAAAAATTCTAAAGTGTCGAAGAAATAAATAGAGTAAATTGAGCCTCTTGACTCTCTGTGTACCTCAATTTTTTGGTCGCTCAATACATTTTTTTCTTGATAAAGTGGATTATCTTCTTTGATGATAATCCATCGGGATTGCCACGCATTAGGACTTTTTTCTGTCTTATTTTTCATCCATTTTGACAATTTCCCACCGTCTTTGTCCATCTGTTTACCCTTTACACTTCAAGAATTGCACTTTCTTGTTTTCGTGGCTTTCTTATTGTTGGGGAAAACACGACACCCCGACCTCTTCCAGGATCACGAGTTCAAAGGACTCTTGTACACTCACACATCCACTCTTAATACAAAGGCTCAATCTAACAATAACACTTTGTATTATACAATTGAAATGTACAAGAGAGATTTTACAAGTAAACGAGTAGCTCACATCACTCTTTGTATGAGACTACTTCACTCTCACATCCCTCTCTAGAGGAGGCCTTCACTTACTTAATAGCCCTCCTCAAGGATCTCTCTCTCATCACTTGAGGAGGCTCTCTCTAGCCTCTCACTCTAGGACCTCCTCATGGCTCTCACTCTAGAGGCTCTCTCTCTAGAAATGAGGAGTTTCACCCCTATTTATACTAATCTCCTCAAACTCCTCTAGAACTCTCTATACTTCTAGATTCTTCCAAGAAGTGACCACAAGCTTCTCTATTCTTCTAGAAGGATTTAGAGAACTCCACACTGCTCCAGGATATTCTAGAGGCTTCTACACACTTCCGCACGATTCTAGAGAATTCCACACTTCTCTAGAAAGCTCCACAATGTTCTAGAATATTCTATATTCTTCCACACACTTCTAGATAATTCCACGTCTCTCTAGAAAGCTCCAGAATATTCTAGAACATTCAATGCTTCTCTACACACATCTAGAGAATTCTAGACATCTCCGCACTATTCTAGAATTCTCATTAACTTCTCAATTAAGGAGGGATCCCAACACTTATATTAATTTCTGGCAGGTCTCGCTTTTAATTAGGCCACAATTTTCAAACACATAAATTTATCTTCTTGATCAGCAAACTCTGGCATGGGAAACTCCATTTCTTGGTAAAGTCCATTCAAATAATCATGCTTATTTCTTTTCTTTAAAATTGTTTTTTCAACTTTAAGTTGTCTTCCTCATTACGAAAAAAAGATTATGCGAGTGCTTTTAATTGGAAACTGAAATACAAAGAAGAAAATGATATAAACTCGTAGGATATGGATGGAATTGGTTTATCAAATTTTCGTGGTAAATGTTAAAGGTATTAATCAATGTTAAACTGAACTTAAAATTGACAAGTAGTCTAGGCTGTCTAGCTACCTTCTCTAATATAATAATATAATCTCTAAAATGTATAGATAAGGATAAATTGTAACTGTAATAATAATTATAATTTATGGTGGATTAGTAGTGTACATTTATGTTTCACATATATTGCTCAATACACAAATCAAACGCTCTCAATACACAAATCAAACGCTCAAGAAACATTTTCATTATTTCTCCAATTCCTGATATCACGTTCTCATTTGAATCATATATATTAATGTTGAACATAATGTTTAACAATGTTTCGTCCTATAGGGTGTGGTCCCAATGAGAGCAATGTTTAACTTAAGAACGTGAGTACCATACTAGATCAAACAACAAGAGAGTACATGTGTATATATATATATATATATATATATATATACATACATATATATATATACATATATATATATACATATATATATATACATATATATATATACATGTCAGGCCGGCCTGACGGGCTGCCCCGTCCGGCCGAGCCCGTTTGGGCACCTTCCCGGTGGAATTTTTTGATGAAATTTTTTGAGCATGTTCCTCGTCAAGTCTAGTTTGTCCATACCAGATTTCAGCTCAAAATTCAATCGGGAAGGTCGTCAAATGATTTTTGCAAGTTAACTGGTCCGGAATATGTATTTTCCAGACCAGTTAACTTGCAAAAATCATTTGACGACCTTCCCGATCGTATTTTGAGCTGAAATTTGGTATGGACAAACTAGACTTGACGAGGAACATGCTCAAAAAATTTCATCAAAAAATTCCACCGGGAAGGTGCCCAAACGGGCTCGGCCGGACGGGGCAGCCCGTCAGGCCGGCCTGACATGAAGAGCACTCTATATACATATATATATATATATATATAGGACTTTTCATGTCCAGACGGCCTGACGGGAACCGCCATCCGGTTGAGGGTATTTTGGGCACTTTTCGGTGGAATTTTTTGATGAAATATTTTGAGCATGTTCTTCATGAAGTCTAGTTTATCCATACCAAATTTCAGCTAAAAATTCAATCGGGAAGGCATTCAAATAATTTCTTGAAGTTAACTGGGCAGTTTATATGTATGAACTGCCCAGTTAACTTCAAGAAATTATTTAATGTTGTAACTAATAAAGGTCATTAGAGTCATTCTAAATAACTATTTAATGTTGTACGGTTGTAGGCTTCCACTATCCAAAAAAGTAGGTAAAAATAAAAACCTAAATTATATAAAATGTTTTTACTTTAAAAATGATTTAACCTTTTAAATTATAATATGATTTTATCAAAAATTATATCAAATTAAATAATTTTTTATTATCTTTCATATGCCATCAATATTGGATATGTAATTTTTTTTTAAATAAGTATAATATGTATACAATAAGTCACTATAAGCATCTCTAGCTATCACACCAACAAGAACATGTACCTAACACACAACCCCAATCTCTAATGCACATGAAAAGTAGTATTTCGCACATAGTTTGTATATAAAGCACCAGGACAAGTGTTTCAATCACAAAGCTAAGGGCAGTATGTAACGCACAACAATTAAAACCTAATATCGAATACATAAGGATTTCATATAATTTAAACTAATATATAATACACGTGAACTAGTATCTACAACACAATACATATATACGATAGATAACTCGTATCTAGCACTTGGTATGAACATAGAGAATTACAACAAATACATCATGCACAATAACCAATGTCTAACACACAATCCCAACTAGTGCATTTGAGTAACACAATAGTG